CCTTTAAACGCAGTTCTCGAAATGACACATACTATACCCGTTTTTTGCTGGGATATAATCCGTGGAACTTCATATCTAGCACAACCATATTTTCAGTGGACTTGGTTCACACCTTACACGCCTACGTACGAGGTCGCATGCTTTTGATGATAACCCACACTTTTTCATTTCACGAAGTGGAGAAGAATATACAGCTAATGTAACACACATCTTACCTGGATGTAATAATTGTGTGACAGATTGAACTACTATATGTTATTTTAAATTTTATTTTTGTCTTATTTCAAATACATTCACCGTAATATGAGATGCCTTCAGATCACTTTCTGATATTATTTTGAATCATTTTTTGGTTCCCGGATTAGGTCACAATTCCATCACGATAAATCCGATAATAAATATTCTGGTGCTTAAGTAACAAACATGACACACACATTTAAAATGTAAAAAAAAACTTGCATTTAAAAATCAATTGAAGGCAAAAGGACGGACATTTGACTTCTTCTGCGACTTTTTACGATTTGAAATCAAGTATATTAAAGCGGGAGGGTCGTCACCTGCGCACGCGCGAGAATTGAGTTCTAAGCGATGATAACAACACACGCTAAGAACGCAAAGGATCATGGGTAGACCCTTGTTTGTAAACAATGACATGCTATGGCCACCTGACGCATGCGTAGGTGACGACTCCCCCGCTTTAAGAGTATGCATCTCACTAACAGAATCCCAATTATGGCCAAACTGCCCAACAAATCGCGCCCTGTGGCGACGATGTGCTGCTGTGACGTGAGAGAAAACGGTGTAGTTCAGAATGACAACTATGTTCGGTTGTGTGGACGTTTGTTACTTAGAATATAGTTAATGTCTCTGATTGAAACCTTTATTACTGGCGGGAATACATAACAAAATGATATAAATACTGTGAATAGCACATTTCATTTAAATACGTTACTGCGTTTCTTCACTAGCGAACAAAACTTGTATGATAGTTTTACAGTGTCCGATTCCGTTTTTACGTAGGAATATATCTGCTTTGCCATAATTCGTTATGCTTCCGCTCCAGTACATGCCCAGTACGTGATAGCAAATGCATGGGGCTATTACATCAATGAATACAACACATAAATTAACGAATATTCAGAATATTGAATTGATTTTGTTACAGGTGGTCTGCTGATGCTGAACTTCCCAAACTAATGTAATTAATTGATGTTTAGTGATCGTTGGCGTCCATAATCAAGGCCTCGTCAATGTCCACTTGTACGCCAATTTCTACAGTTGTACGAGCTTTAACGTTTGCAGTTGTATTCTTCATATTTTTTCTAAAATAGTAGTACATAGTGAATTGTTACTTTTAGTCTAACACATTATGTGTATGTTTGTTATCATGTAATAATACGATATTATAATAGTAGTTAAGCTAGCTGAGCGCCATGTAGTGTCAAATTGGGCTTGACAAAGCGGCGTACTTTAGCATGGAAGTGATAGAGTGATGTACTAGTATGTGCATGGTACAACAAGCAGTGGCGTAGTTAGCGGGCGTCAACTTTGACGTACCACAAAATGCAGTAAGCTATTTTTATGTCTAAACTATGACTATGTTGATCCTAAATATTGATAATCCACTCAGTGATCATTGTACGTAAGGCCAATCTAACTAGTAGCATTAACTGCACAACTTTACAAACTAACTAAATCTAAGCTCAGTTAGCAAACCGATGACAAAGCAAGATGCAGACCGACACGTAGACAAATCAACATGTTCGCGATATAAAGAAAAATGTTTCCTTGCTGATATACTGTTGTAGCATTAATATATAAACATTTTATTACAGCTTTTGAAATCATTAGAAATGCTTTACAATTAGCGGGGCAGTGGCAGTGGCCAGTATTAATTCTATCAAATCGCAAGCAGAAGTTGTGATTTCATTAGATTTTGCAAAATTGTTGCGCAAGCTGCCAGGAATACAAGTGGTGTTGAATATATGATTCAG